AAACCGCTCAACAGAGACTGGACGACGAGATACTGGACTCCAAAGTGTTTACACTGAATAATAATGACCTCAAACTGAGCAAGATAGTGGCGGTTAGCGGGGACGTGAGTAGCCCGGGGCTGGGCCTGTCCGATGGGGACCGGGAGCTACTGGTGCGCGAGGTGTCGGTGGTGTTCCACTCGGCGGCGTCCGTCAAATTTCACGGACCCCTCAATGATTTTATCGCCCAAAATGTTTACGGCACTCAGTCGGTAATGCAGTTGTGCGATAAAATGACCAAGCTCGAGGTTTGTGGTGTGCATTTATCTTGATTATTTTGTGTTTATATATTGTGCGGATAGTTTTGTATGTAATTTAGAGAAATTTATAGTACTTATAGTATTTATAGTAACTATTACTTTGTAATTCAATTTAGTAGCACGCTATGTTTTAGTGAGTTATATGTTTTTGTAAATACTTTTTGTTATTTTTTTATGCAAATAGTATTTTTTAATAATATTAAGTTAGCATGCATTATTATAGGCTATAATTTATAGCTATACCAGTATATTGTATAGATATTTATTTAATAATTTTAATAAATTCAAAAATTCAGTGTTATTATCAAAAAAAACATAAAATAAAACTTAATTTTATAAACTGAATTCAAGTCACAATACAAATTACTATTGACTGTAGAAATCTATTTAATTAACGGATTACACTGTTTACTAGTACATTTTATCAATACTTATCGCTCGCTAAACAACCAAACAAAATAAAACTGAACTCAATGTTCCCTGAACCTGAAAACCCTGACCAATCATACAAATATCACCAAACATCTCACCAAATACACACATACTGTCCCTCGTAGGCACTGGTATACGTGTCCACGGCGTACGCCAACTGTAGTCTACTGGAGATCAAAGAGGAAGTCTATAAACTGCAACAAAACTCGGCCGAAACCATACGATTAGCGCAGACTACCGGCGCCGACACGGACTCCCAGGCCATGCGGGAGCTGATGGAGGGTCGGCCCAATTCGTACACATTTAGCAAAGCGATCGCCGAAAACCTGGTGACCGAAGGGTACAGCCATTTGCCGCTCGTGATCGTCAGGCCCTCCATAGTGACACCCGCTGTCAAAGAGCCAGCACCAGGTACAGTTTACTATATTAAAAACCAGTGTACCTAGGTATATACCTTTCTAATACTTAATATATTATCATAGGATGGGTGGATAACGTGAATGGCGTGGCCGGTGCCCTACTATTGGGCGCGTTAGGCATCGCCCGCACAATGGAGGGTACGGTATATCGTATATAAAAAATACATATAATTAGCACCTAGTACATTTATCAACATATAATTTTATCATTATATACAGTCAATTGCGATGCGAAAGCCGACTTAATCCCCGGTAAACACATAATTACCTATTAATCCAAAACTCATACTAAACCCACAATTAATGTCTTATTATACACTCGCAGTCGATATGATCGCCAACAGCCTGGTGGTGATCGGGTGGCATACCGGCGCCCACGCGAACGACCGCAAAAAGGTCATACACCTGACCAGTGGCGTCGAGAACCCGGTGACCTGGGGAAAATTTCTCGACCACTCCCGCGTGGCGGCCGTAAAGGCCCCGTCCATACGTATGGTGCGACCCCTGGCCAAGAACCCGACCAGTTTGAAGGGACCGGTAGGCCGGGTGAACCATTTGGTCACCAAATGGGTGTCCCATGTCTTGTTCGCCTACTTCGTGGACCTCATACTCACGCTATTGGGCTATAAGAGGCTGATGGTGAAGGTGACCCGTAAGATGCACCGGGCGTTTGAGGTGTTGGAGCACTTCACGAGCAAGGAGTGGGTGTTTCATAATCGTAACTATTACGACATACACGATAGGCTGTCCCCCGAGGACCAGAGGCTGTACTTCTCGGATATAAGGCGTTTGGATTGGCGGATATACGCCGAGAATCTGTATTTAGGGACCCGGAGGTACCTCCTAAAAGAGGACGACTCTAATATCGATAAGGCGCAGACCAGGATCACTTATATCACGCTGTTTTATAACCTGTTTCTACTCGTATTGTCGGTATTTCTACTGTTTTTGTCGTATGTTTTGTATCGATATACATGTGTCTAATTGCGGGGAAAGTTAGTGTAATTTAATGATAATTTTTTTGGACATTTAAAAAAGTTTTTATAAGTTTTTTGACACATATTTTATAATTAGTATTATTATTATTATATTGATAGTAGTATTTACGGTAGTGTTTAATATTAAGTATGTTATATTTTATTTGATGTATACATTTATCCAGGTGTATTCAGTGAATCTACCAAAAATATTTAATTGTGCTTTTATTACTTTGATTGTATTTTAATGAAAATTTATAGAAATAAAATATTTTTTATATTGATATACTTTAATAGTATTATTATTTTATAATGATAACTCACCTAAAAATGCCAAGCTTACATTTAAGACATAATTTACAATTCAATACAATTAGTATAATAATATGTATTTAATAGTAATTTAATATCTATAAAATTAATTTCAAAATGTATTCCTATGAACACCTTGCGCAAATTACTTTACACGGAGTTGTATTGTACATACACGTACCGTACTGTACATTATTCACATTTATTTCAAGCCAATTTTAATTCACATATTTATTGCACTTATGGACCACTGGTCGCCATCTATATCATGAAACTGGTCTTCAAAAGTAATTTTCGTTTTATAATTTTACAGAAAAATTAAAATTATTCAAAAACTATTTGAAATTCAGTTTTGAAAATTTAAACACAAATACTTCATATGTTTATTAAATAGAATATGTGATAATTAGAAAGTTTTAATTGATAATTAATTTTATAAAATTAAAAGTTTGATTAAACCGGTGTTCATAAGTAATTTGCAATTTAATAGATAATCGAAAAAAGATTAAAAATTAAAGTTTAATTGTAGCTAATATTTAGTTGGACCACCATTTGAGTCAATCATACACTTAAGACGTCGAGGAACCGATTCGACCAACTTTTCGATGAAGTCTTTGGGCATTTGATCCCATGTTACTTGGAGGCCCTTAAAGAACCGTTCCCGTTATGTCCGGGCCCAGACCGGCACGTGATTCTCGAGATAATCCCAGGCATTCTCTATAATGTTGAGGTCCGGTGACTTTGGCGCCCATTTGAGACGTTTAATCTTATTCTCCTCGAAGTAATTGGTGGCTGCGGTATGTTTGGGATCAAAGTCCTGTTGAACACACAAATCGGTCGCCAATACCCATAAGATCAGCACTGAATTGAAGATTGTCTTCAAGGATAGACCGGTAGTCATTCTGCTTCATAATCCCAGTGATAAGATGTAGTGAACCGACACC